CATTTTCACAGAGGCTATAAACTGAACCCTTGACTGCACAATTAACCAGACTTTTTCCTTGGTCCCGAAGTCCAAGTTTCATGAGTTTTTAGGGAGGCATTCCTAAACCGTGTCAAACTGAGAATGGCCTTTTCCGAACTCACTCAATAACTAGACTACTAGAGACGTACTGAAGTTACGAAGAATGTGTTGCCGTTCTTTTAACTCTATTCTCGGAATGTGGAGTGTTTTCTATTCCAGTGTATAATAACTACATTTGGTAAACTCCAATTACACTGCCCATACCACAGAATCGGCAATCCCCAATGAACAGAGAACTTTTTGATCATCACCTCACCAAACTAACTTGTATGGTAGAGTCAAAATAGGAGCTTGTGCCATTCTCTAATTCATACATGTGGTGGGTCAAGATCGCTAGGACGTCCGCCGGGCAGTCTGGTCCCCAAAAATTTCATAGCGACCTACGTTGGATGCGAGACGCGAAAGATCGGGAGGTACATATAAAAGAGATAGACAGAGACAGAAGAGATAGACATAGAAAGTACTTAATAGACACGTCTGGGGCAACAGTGGCACTGCAGCCCTGGGGCAAAACTCTCTGATCTCCTGAGGAGGCCACATATCAACGATGGGTTTTTGGATACGACAATGTCGCGTCCGAAAATCGCCTTAAAAATAGGCTCAAAGTTCGTTTATAACGTCCACTGATGAGGGTGTCAGACAGTTCCCATTAGACAGCACTGCGAGGTAAAAATTGAGAATTTTGCGCCTACATGCTTCTTGACACTGTTACTAATATGTCTTGCTGAGCAGAAATGTAAGTCATGCTCAACTCCTCTTTCCCGTCACAATACCATCAATGCTGGAAATGGGGAGGTATGAGGGGAAAGCAGGCTGAAGTTTTGGATTTCCTTCTATTCAGGATCACGGCGGTGGTATAGTGGCAAGTGACACACTATCACGTAAGCGTGGTCCGGTGATCAGATCCAAGATCGATACTCGTTCAGGTCAAGCAACTTTCTATGCATTAGCGTCGATCCATTGATAGAAAAACATCCTGGAAGGATAAAAGTTCCGACTTGTACCTCGATTGACAAACTATAATGTCTATAAGAATGACATGCAGAGCCGTTTATGGGTCGATCCAGTTAACTGGTATTCCTGTCGAATGCATGGCGCAACACTCGGCTTGACAGACTGGCTATGTTAAACAAATTATGTTTTGTATTTCTCAAAGCTTCATGGCGTCTTAGCGCCGGTATTTCTTGTTCCAACGTAACGAACGTGTAGTGTTTACATTCTCGTAACCTTTCGTTCCTCCTCGCGACCTTCTTCTACGTCTCCTCTTTTTTGTCCTCTCATCGTCATTTCTTTTGCTTTACTCGTTTTCGTTCGTTTGGGTTTTCTTGCTTGTCCACATTCACTTTTGTTCGCCAATTGCCTCTTCCCCTCTATGCCTTTCCGTGCATGATTTCCCATACGATTTCGTTTTCAAGTGTTTACCAAGTGGCAACGCGCATAACCCCTCAATAGCTTTTAGATTTTCGTAGCCAGTAATGCGTGACGACAGAATAGATGCTTCTGAAGAACGGCCCTTATCGACCTGAAGAAATGGGACATTTATAGGAACAACTTGAAATACCCTAGACGCAGGCAATGTTCCTTCGAGGGCATAAGTGCCATCGAAAGAACTCATTTGCCTCGTGGATTCTGCTTTATCAAAATAACATTTTATCCCAGTAAAAAGCAGAAGGCGGTAATTTAAAAGTATAATAATATAGAATATTCGTCTGCTGCATTTTTCCAAGGTAGACGGAGCGATTTTTCCACTTTTCCGTTTGTTTCTGCGTGTCCAGAATACCATTCCGCCATTATAACGTGTATGGGCAAATAGATTCCTGAATGGTACTTTTATGATGCTTACTCACAGCTGAGTTCATACTTTAATGGTACTTCTTCACAAGATATACCATTACAAGACTTATCTATACATTATAAAACTAGAGGTGAAGTCTTTGGCATTAATCGATCCCTTATTGAGATGCGCCCCGCATTCAACTTCCATCAAGGATCCTAGCCGGGTTTTTGAATGAATGTATGACCTATCAAATGTACTGGAGTCGAAAACAAGTCAAAGCTTCTATCCTCCTAGAAAAGCCTGGTCACCGACCTCAGGAGTGGAAGCATTGGTTCTCCCTGAAGAACTTTAATTTGGGAATCGATCACTGATTCATGCGTATATGATAGTGTGCCACTTGCCACTACATCAACTCTCCCCTTCCTATATCTAAATCTCAAGGAATTGTTGGATTCCGTCAGCTATGGCTCAGTTTACCTTTCGTTTTTCGCTTTCCATCTCGAATTGGTAGGATCCACCGATGGCCCCTGCAATTACGTTTCTTCGACAAGAATGAAGGTTACATTCGTCGGCCTGGCCGACGTGTCAAAAGAAAAGGCGATCCCTTTGTCCCTAACATACCGTTGGAAAAAACCCCTAATGGGTTTACCATGGGAAACGAAGATCTTACTTCATTCACCGAAATTCCTTGGAGTTGAAGGAATCGGCGGTGATCACAATCTCTTGGACCATTTGTCTTTTCTTTGTCTTTTTTCTATCTCTTGAATGACTTTTTCATCACCTAATCCGATGGCCTTGCTAGACAACCGTCAGATGACGCCTTTAGCCAGTGGTTAGTGCAAAACCTGGTCGGGTAAGACGGTTGAGGCGAAGGAGTCCTTTCAGCTGCTCCGAACGTAGCAGTAATATGGCCAGCCAGTGAACACCGTTCTCTACACAGAGCAGGGTTCTTTCGAGCAATGTAGTTGTAGGGCCAGGCAGTAAATGCCGTTGGCCCTCCCGTCCTCCTATCTTAGACGAGGGCGGAGCCCAATGATGGTGTGATCGTCTCATTAGCGTGACGAATGTTTTCGTTAACGCCTCCATATGGAAGCGTTTAGTCGTAGAGGCCCTTGACTGACACCCTGCCGCCTTTTCCAGCTTGACCTTATTGGCCTTCCCCATATGGATCCTGATGAAACCACTTGTGGCTGTTTTTTTATGATTTCCATTTCATTCAGATGCCGATACCTCTGGATACTCAGACGAGAGCCTATTAGGGTCTATTAAGCTTGCACACTTCTTCTTTGAGAAGTGCAACGTAGCTTCAATCGATTATTGATAGTTATCGATTGGGTAGACCGATCTACAAATGGTATAAATTGTCCGTGTGCTCATTTTAAGTTTTATGTCGATGCGTAAATGCGATAACCACAACAACCGTGAATACGAGCCTTTCTTAGCCTACTACATTCCAGCTGTTGATTGAACCGATTCAGATCGATCGGTTTGGCCAAACAAGCTTTCTACCTGCGAAGTATTGCTATTCTTTTTCCTAGCATTTTCGTTTGTTCACAGTTCAGTAGTTGTACGATGGTAACTGCCACTTGGAAGAGTAAGCCAGTCCCATTTTCAGGGAAACTTGCTCCCTGTGTTCCATTCCTTTCCACAAAACTGAACTTACAAGGATCTGTTCCTTAACTACAAAACGTTCCCCGTAAATCAAAATTTAACTCTTCTATTTCGGCTAGTTGCTAACCCAGAAAAAAGAGTAGGAGCCCGTCGGATCAGTAAGACGATTACTTCCTAAAAACTACTAAAAACCACCAGTCATCCTAAAACTGATATGAGCGACGAGCTCGTAGAAAAACAAGTATTGCTTACTAAGATTTCCGACAAATTTTTACCTTTTTTCTGACTTTATCCGAGTCCTCTTAGCTTTTTCTAGAATAACCTTTCAAAGCCTCTCGGTGGTATGTATGACTTGTTTGGCTAATTTATTCAAGTTGAAATTACCGGAAATTGAATTGTCACTTCACGCTCATCTTCAGCATCCTTGTACGGTCGTTACCAGTCTTCGCAGATCCCCTTATGATGACGTATAAGGTCGGAATAATCATCCATCTGTCTCCATTTTTTGTTGAGCTCATGTTCCTAACCTTATTGTTGACGCATTTGAGACAATCATCTGTCCAAGCTTGAAAGATTTCTTATCTATGTAGTCGGGATGGGGCTTACCATAAACTTAACTACTACCGTTCTTTCTCTGAACCTATTTTGTTGCAAAATGCCTCGGTCGTAAGTTGGAACGTTAAGGTAACTTTGTAGATTCAGTACTTATCCAACGCTATTACGATTTTGAACGGAATAAGAATTCGTGGCGCATCGCAGAACTGGATGAGTGTTCCCTAAATGCTTAATGCAATTTTACTCACCTCCATTCTCAGACTAAATTTAAGAACGACGCCTCGAAGTACACTAGAGTTGGACTGACCTCAATTCCAGCGAAGTCGATCCTTCAGGTGTTTCCTTTGCAATGATGATAGAAAAGGGAACTTTGCTTATGAAGAGAATTCAAAAATGTGCTGTGTGTTCGAATCTGCATCAGAGAACCGTTTTGACTTCACTGCTCCATCCTCATTTGGTTCGTGGGAAGAGTTTTTAGCTGCTGTTTTTCTTGAGCATACAATTGGAAAGGGTGTCGAGCGGCTTCAAACTATGAGAGCGCTGAGGAACAAGAAAAACAAATTTGCGTTACTTTTGGGCCTATTTAGTTTACCTTAAGGCTTTACTTTTTCCGATTATTTGTATTTATACTTACTGCCTGTTTTTTTGCGGTCATGTTTTTTCTGCATCTTTTTACCCACAGGACTCCCCCCCCTTTACCATATCCAACCGACCAGACGGTCAGGCTCTATCGGCTGGTTGGCCGATTGGGCTTCCGCTTTAGTCATTCGGCTCTCGATGACGCTTCAAAGCGTTGGCGAGTTAGTCGCGAGTCATCACCTCGTTTACCCTCTGGCCGTGCTGGCTAGCCATTGTCTGGCCTAATTGCTCAGCATCCGATATTGTTAGCACCCAACGCGATGACTCGCTTCGTCCACTGCCGCCATCTTCACTGTTGCACTTAGCCGTTGAAAGTCCCCTTCCCTCGCGGCCCTTTATGACGTCGTCATCAGTTTTTTCCTAGTGAACTGAGTACTTAATTTTTGATCTGTCTAATTGTTCAGTCTACAATAACAACCTGCATGGTAAGCCATGCATTTTGTGTCCAGCCGGAATCATAGAAATAATTGAAAGGTTATGAGCTCGTGTATCGTTCAGGGTAACTGGCACGCTCCTCGAATCATCGTTGATAGAAAGAAATCGTGCCTTTTCTTGAGTCTGGATTATGTGGGATGGCTTTCCGTTGAGGAAAAAAAATTCAAACTTTTGTCGTATCCGCTATTGTAGTGGAGGAACCAGGTACTGCCGAGAGACAGCAGGGATCGTATGCAAACAGTTTTTCGCAATGAAGCTTCCTCGGATTACGAATAAAATTTTTATAAAGTTCTCAGTTTGCTAGAAAAACGTACAGTAACCCCTGATAGATAGTTCGGTAATTTCTCTTACGATCCTGACTATTTGATTTGAATTATCGATTTACTTCGAATGCTGATTGTCCACACGAAGTTGTCGTATTCACCACCCTCTCACGAAAAAGTTCCTCCTCCTAAAATTCACGAAAATATTTTTCAAGACCAACTGCTTGATTGTACATATAGTATGTGATACAAAGTTGTAATTAGTTCTACCACTATATAGTTCGGAGTAAATGAAGGCCCATAGCTGGGGACCGCCACTTTCCTTCCAGGAACCCCATGAGATCGGATTCCGTCTAATCTAACCCATAGTTTCTGCGCTCTACAGTTGGACGGTCGGTATCACAGAATTCGGAAGTGCGCAACTTTGACCCCGTAGAGATGGTGTGGACAAAACTAGTTTAAATTTATAGAGAAGATCAATATACCTTGTTGATATTGAGTATAGGGAATTATAATACGCAAAATTGGAATATTATATAAAATTAGTCGCATTGGTTGTAAGTATAGCAAATAACAAAAGTCCAGTAGTAATAGATGTACTTTTCGGATGGGAAAATTACGTTTTGCAGGGATGTCATTAGGGAGGTTTCCGCCGAATTCGCTACAAATCTCATCTTCAGTTCCATCTATCTCTAGAACTTTTGTTTTGATGGATTCGGTTTATCGTTCCGCCAACAGTGGTTCCGTAGTGTAGCGGTTAACACCCTGGACTTTGAATCCAGTAACGCGAGTTCGAATCTCGCCGGAACCTACAATTTTGCAGGGACGATATGTGAAGTGCTTTTTGTTAAATTCATTATAGGTCGCTTCAGTTACCTCTAGGATTCCTTTAGAGGACGATTGGCTTCGTAAGATACTGTAATGGTTTCGTAGTGTAGCGCCTAACACTCTGGGCTTTGAATCCACTAATGTGAGTTCGAATCTGGGTGGAAACCCACGTTTTGCAGAGACACTATTTGAAGAACTTTCTACTAAATACGCTGTAGGACTCTCATATTTAGCCACTTAGTCCTCAGATTGTTGTTTTGCGAACTCGATTCATCGAAGGGCTAGTACTGGTTCCATAGCGTAGCGGTCAACACCATGGACCTTGAAGCCAGTGCCGCGAGTTCGATTTCTAGCATTTTCTCCTATGTTTTTGTGTTATTATTTCTGAGTAGTGCTTCCTTATCTAATTTCGGTCATTAGTCTCATTCCACTCTGTTGTGGATAGATCCTCAATCCCTCACAATCACAATATCGGATAATAGTTATGCGATTAATTATTCGTCCTTATAATTACATTAGCAAATTGGATTATTCGTAATACCTCCTGATGACGCCGTTTCTGGAGAAGATCCAAGTTTTTGAATGAAACTCAGGGAACAAGTAGCTTTGTACCAAATTTGGGTGTTTTTAGATATTGCAGTAATGAGGGAAAGTAGTCTAGTGGCAAGTGGCACATTATCACGCACGCGTGATCACGAGTTCGAATCCCGGATCGATATCCGGGGTCCGAACTCATATATAAACCAAGCGTTTCATCCATGGGAGGATAAAAGCACTGATTTCTACATTGGCTGGCTACCGTAAGTCATTGTATCGGCTACATATGCATTCTATACGCCACTACGATTCTGAATGGAAGCCGAGTGCGGGGCGCATGCCAAAAAAGAATTGACTATCGCCGAAGACTTTATTGTTTCTTGTCCTTTTATATTATTCATATTAGAAGGAACTAAACGTATCAGCTTTTAATCTTACAAAGTGGATGCAGCCAAAAACCGAATTTCCATGATGGGGCGTGGCCAAATTTCCTTTTTCACAGAGCACGTTTTGACATTTAGGCTAACCGTCAACTATGATAACGGAATAAGGGATGCTTTTATTTGATACTGCTCCTCTTTTATATTAACATTGCTCTTTTTCCTTGTTTTTCCTTTCTGTGAGGTAGCAACGACGAATACTGTGGCTGATAGGCGCTAAAACGCCTAAATGGGAGTACAAAACTGAATTCTTTCAACTTATCCATTGAGTAAGCATTGNATTCTTTCAACTTATCCATTGAGTAAGCATTGTATGTTTATATTTAAAACTTAAAATTTCCTTAAAATGTTATAAGAAATTCTTCATGATCATGGGAATTCAATCGATAAATGATCATGGTTCTTTCCTTCCTTTTCCCCATATACCACCAGCTCACCCTTGACGGCGGTATTTCATCTGACCTTTTGTTCGGCCACGCAAATCGTCTATGCCTTTCAGACGGCTGCCTTCAGATGACTAAGCGCGGTCGTTGTATGTTTTCCCATGGCCGTAGTGTACGGTCGACAACGTAGCGACCATGTTTTTCATATACTTTCTCACTGATTATACTGATCGTCCTCAGGAAAGTGCTAGCACTTTCCTCCCGAGATGAAGTTCTGAACACTTATTGGGGGACCGGGGAATCTGGTTGATCCCATCCAATACTTTTGTTTTATAACTGTTACAAGGATCGGGACTGCAGAAATTGGAAGTTATTAAACAGTTCCGCCACAACATATATCGGAAAGGGGAGCCTTTTTAGGTGCTGCTGATGGTCTGGATTTTTTCTGAAGTGGTTTTTATCATTGTGGAAGATGTACCGATTGACAGCTAAACTTGCTACTTTTCTTTTTCCTTTTTGTTTCTTTTTTTTCTTCAACTGGAAAGAATCGGGATTCGGCTAGGAGGAACCGGGAGTAAAATCAGAAAGTAAGGCACATTGGGTTTCGGTGTGACTAGGTGTCTACTGGACATGTTCGAGGATAATGCCTGATAGTAGCGAACCCTTGTAATTGGAGTGAGTGGCCTCCTTTTCCTCTTTTTTTGACTTGGGCATATCCTCCTCAAGCCTAAGCATACTGGAAAAATTTGCAGAAATGGAGGGAGGAGAGGAGAGGAGGAAAGGGCTCGATTGAGAGTCAATCTTCAAAGTTTGAGGGGCTCTCAAATCTGGAAATGAAGGGCGTTGTTGATGAGTCATGTTTTTGAAAATCTTCTAATTCAGACCAGCATTCCCGAGTTTTTTTTGAAAAAAATTCGAATTTCGCTGCGCGTGACCTATCTTTTTTGATTTTTCGAAATTATATGAAAATTTGGAAGTTCATGGTCCATCGGTTGATCACAGCTTGGGATATTTGCTCTGTTCGGAGGGTACTGAGGAAGTAAAGCAGCTCCTTGTCCTCGAAACGAACCTTAACAATCCCAAGAGGTGGCAAGCTCAGTAGGAGTGAGTGAGAATTTACCCAAGATCTCGTCGCCGTACCATTCCGTACTGGTAGTGACGCTACTTGGCCCACGCCGTTGGGAACCCTATGGTGTCAGTGGCAATAAAAACAACAATTTGGTATCGCTCTACTAGGTGTAGGTCCCCAGAATTAACGGCAGCGAATAATTGGTAGGGATCCTAGAGACGGCGTTGCACGTTTAATAGCAACCATTTCTTATGCAACAATAGCCAGCGTCAGGCAGC